TCCATTTCCATTATTGTACTGAGCACAGCTTGACTAGAACTGAGAATTCAGCCCATGGACTGCAAAAGATTGATTCCCGCCCCCCCCCCCCCCCACACACACATTTACCAGCATTTTCTACTCTGCCTTTTCTCTCCCACCAGTTTATTTGTAACAGTCTGCAAAGAAAGATAGCATATTATGGCCGCAGATTATTTTCTGTGATCCTTATTAGTGATAGGGATGTTTGGTAAGCAACTAAAATATATATATAAAATGTTCAATGCTCAGAATTGGATGTAAATGAATCTCACAGGGCTGGTAATCCTACTTATGTGGCTCTATTATTCCTCTTCTAACATACTGTACCACTTTATCAGTTAACTCATTTCTCATACTGATCTGGAGAGAGACCAAGCATAAAAAGACATATCAAATCCTTCTTCTCTTCCACAGACGCTGTTTGAAAGGAGCTTGTCCACCTCCAGACACAAGACTGCATTCTGTTTTCCAATAAAATAAAATGCTACTTTCATGTGATGAAAAATGATTAAACATAAATATGTAGGCCCAAGCTCTTCTCCTGTTCTATTGATTACTTTTATGACAGCTTTTGAAATGCTCAAGAGGCCAGAGAATGTTTGGTTTTGAAATACAGTAAGAATATTTTAGAATATGAATGTAATTAGACTTGGTAACTAGAGCCTGCAGTCTCCGCAATGTTCTCTGCACCCACTGCAGACAGTGAAGTCTGCTGCTTGGCTGGTAATTCTGAGACAGAATTTGATTAACTCCTCAGGCACTAGACATAATGCATGAGATTTTCCATGGCACCTTGCTTGGTAGGTAGCAAATCACTGGAGCTTGAGACTATCCACATGTCCAGAAGCAGAAGTGCCCCTCTTCTGAACATGTGCCAAGAATTATAAACACCAAAGGGGCTAATTATTTCTGGTATTTTGTTTCTTATTCTTTTCCAAACACTTTGTAAGATCAAACAGGTTTCTCTCTATGGACATGCAAAACAACTTCTTTTCAAAAGGTATTTTTATAATAAGCCACACAGGTTTACATCATTTTAAATTAGTGTTAACAATATTATTTTACAAAGTAATGCAGTGATGACATCCTTATTTACCAATCAAAGTATACTGGCTACATACATTGTATACTATTTTGAGATTAATAAATTACAAATATATATCAGTTGCAACCAATGTTAGGAAACCAGTGCATTGAATACAGATTTTTCATAATCAAGAGACTCTGACTTCCTAGAAGCAAATTATGCTGCACTGTGTTAAACTAATAAAATAGTAGCTTTTGTCAGAGGATTTGAAATCTGTTGATGGACAGCAATGCATTAAGCCTCACACGAGCCTTGTACTATTCACATTTTATAAAAGGCAAAATTTAAGCACAGCGAGGTTGTTACTCAATGTCAAATAGTGAGTGAAAATCTGAGAACAAAATAAAAAGATTTCCACTTCCCTGCTCTAAGCACATGGCAATGGGTTAGGTTTTCCAAGGTACATAAGGGAATTAGGCACCCAGTTCCCTTAGGCTCCTTTGAAAATTCCACCCAATGGGTATACTGTAATTTGAAATCTGTTTCATAATGATCTCTCTTCCCTTTCACAATGAATATTAACACTTATCCTTGCATGGCATCTACAACTGTGAAGTAAATTACCTGCCAAATCATGGGATGGGTTTCGCTAAAAAAATAAATTAATAGAGTTTGAACATATTTTTCTTAGAGTTTTCTGATAACCTTCCCTGCATATTAGGGTATAGGCAAAAAAATTACCATTTGAAATACAAATTAACTATCCAATCCTGCTGTCCTGCCTGAAATAAACTCCCACTGACTTCGATGGGAACTAAACGGACTGCGGAGTAAGTTTACTACAGTTAACATAAGAGAGATTTCCAGGTATCTATTAAAAAGTGCTTGTTCCTTCCCTCCTTCAGTAATCTAGATCTGAAAAGTTTGTAGCAATCCTTATAAATGTTGAACAAATCTTATAAATGTTAAGTTCTGTGGTTCAAATAATAATAACACAGTGTTCCAGAACATATTTCAATGACTAAAAATGTATTTTTGTTTCCACAAACATGTGTATTTGTTATCTAACTATGGACTGAAAAAGCTAACAACAAATTTGTTCTTACACTCACAGGACAAGGACAATTTCTTACCGTGCAATTTTGTCACATCAGTCCTAAAATTTGACTAAATGCTAAACTTCAGTTTAACTTCTGAAAACAAAAAGGCTCTTGAAATCATGACACCTGTTGTGCATTTTTGTTAAAAGTGTAAACGTCTGACTGCCATAGTTCATTGGTTCCCAAACTTTTTACTAAGGTGACCCACCAGCTATGTGTTCTTATTTTGCGACCTACCATTACATATATGCATCTTCTGCTCTGGCACCGCAACCCTATTCCCAGCCCATTGTGGAGGGGAGGCCTTGGGAAGAGCAGGGTTGGAGAGCAAGCTCACCTCACAGTGGTGGCTCCTGTCCCACAGGGCTGGGCCTGGTTCTTCACTGTGGGCATTGCAACCTGGTCCACAGGGTCACAGTGTCACTTAGTGTGGCCTGGAGAGAGAGCTGGGCCCAGCCCCATCAGACAGGAGCTGCTGGTGCGGGGTGGGCTTGCTCTCCATCCCACCACACCCTACTTCCAGGGCTTCCCCTCCACCCTAGGTCAGGAGAAGTATATGTTTGTCTAGGGACCAGAGATGGGTTAATCTGGCCTGGCATGTGGTGACTCATCTAGTACCTTCCCTCAACCCACTAGTGGGTTGGGACCCACCATTTGGGAAACACTGGCCTAGTCAGTTACAAATGTTAATGATTGTCCTGCTGTGGGGAGCCACACAAGAACACAGAAGCCTCAGTTCAGATGTCTCAGAACAATTTATGTAATTTAGACACCATTTTTTATGCTGAAATAGAGTTGATTTTGCTCTGTTCCATCAGTGGAGTCTCTCCAGATTTACCCCATTGCTTCTGAGAGAAGAATTTGACCCTCAGGCTCTTAGTCTGAATGGTATTGATTAAAATGAGCGCTAAACTCACAGCAATACTATTTTAGTTGTTTTTGCAAGAATAGTTTTCCTTTGATCTTTTTATTAACAGCTACAATTTCAAAGAACCTTCTAGTCACCACTGCTCTGAACTGAAGTCAGCTGGCTTCTTAAATCTTAACTGTTACAAAATTAGTTCCAATAGTTGTTACTTTAAAAAGTGAGAGCGATGTTAAGCAATAGCAAGGAAAATGTAAATTTAAAGCCTTAGCTTCACCCCACACATTTCTTTCTTTCTGCCTGTCATTTTACACTAGAGCCATATGAAACTTTCATGATGAAACCTCTACCTGGGCAGAGTCCTCCAACATTTCTGAGCCTTTCAGCAAAGCAGGGATGTGTTTTTAAGCAAAACCCAAGGCGAGTTTCCACTGAATCTTGGTTGATTTACAGTTTTGGGAGTAAACTATATTGAATTCTGGGGTTACTGATTTTATGTGACTTTTTCACCCCAAGTCAGGCAACATGTGAGGCTTCATCTGAATTTTCATTTTGTTTTGGGGGGTTGTTCCAACCCCAAAAGCAAAGCAAAACTCTCCAACGCCTGGGAACTGAAACCTTTCAATAGCTTTAATATAGATAGAGAGAAAATAGGGCAGAAACTGAAAAGGAGCCACTTTGGCTGAACAGTTAGTCTCCTTGGCTGAAGCTCCATTTAATCACAAGAGAGGAGCTTGTCGTTAGAGCTGGGGAGAGGTGGGGATTTTTTTGTTGAAGCTGTCAAAGCTGTCATTTTGTCAAAATTGCTGTATTCGTCAAAACAAAATGTGTCACTTTCAACTAAATGTTGTTTCGGGGGGGGGGGGGGGGGAATGAAACAAAGCATTTTGATAAAGTCCAAATGTCCCATTTTAACATTTTCAGAATGAAACATTTTGATTTTCCATAGTGAAAATACTTTTTGAAACCAAATTAATTGCTTTATATAAAAATATTTTTAAAACATGAAAAAAAATGAAAATCAGAACAAAATGTTTTGATTCTTTAAATCAAAACAAATGTTTTGGCCTGAAATGATTTTTTTAAAATTTCATCTCATGGGAAATTTTGAAATATTTGTTTTCATTCCTTTCGGAATGGAAAACATATATTGTGGAATTTCCTGTGAAATTGTTCCCAGATAGCTGCTCTTATCATTTAAGAGTCTCCCCCTTCATAAGAGCTCAACTGCCCACTGAGGGTAGTAATCCTAACCACTAGGTCATTCTTCTACACTCACCAGTCATACAATAGGAAAGCCCATGATATAGGATTATATTTTTGAAATAGGCAACAGCATCCCAAACCAGTCTGTCTTCCCTGAGGTGGTACAGTAAAGAAACACACTTTTTTCATAATAGTGGCTTACCTGGCTTTCTGGGGCACATGAACTTTCTCCTCCATAAAGGCCAGAAATCTTATCTAAAGTGTTACCATGATGATGCGATATGACTCTCTGGTTTATGCCACAGATATTGTAGTGGGGATTTTAGCTGTTGTAGTCACATCACTAATATTTCAGAAAAAATCAATTTTTAGGCCAAAAAAAAAAAAGTGGGAAAATTCATTGGGTGCCTTGCAAATCATGTTACTGCACTTCCCCCCTCCCCCCAGCCTTTTATTATTACAGTATAGGAGTGTAGGAGTAAAGCAGTAATGTCTGTGATTTCTTACCTGTGAGATTTCGTTCTTATACTCATTTGCTCCAGTTAGAACAGCCTTTGCAATACCGAAATGGCAGACTGTTAACAGCTGCTATTTATATAATATTTACAATAAAGGGTTCATTCCCATCATTTGCCTAATTGCTCTATCTGGCATTGTTGGGGAAAAAACCACCCAGCTGATGTCAATGTGCATCAATGTACAAAGGTGAAGACTGCTAACGTTTATCTGCATTTGGGTTTTGATTTTGGTTAGAACAAAAGAGCAAAAGATCCTACAGTACCTTTTGACTTAAGTGTCATCACAGGAAAATCACCATCATACTCTCCTAAAAAATAATCAAGACATGCTAGTATGTTTGTTCTGTTTCATATCACAAACATCATAAGCACAGTACACTGAATTCAAATAGTTTAAAGATAGATATTTAAAGATATTACACTCTGCTTAGGACCTGATTCTCATACGCTTGCTCATATTCAATAGTACCTTAATCCACAAATAGCCCCTCTGAACTCAATAGAGCTACTTTGATAAGTAAGGTGAGTACAGGAATTGGAATCTGTCCCTTAAATAAGTTTGCCTCCCTACGCCAGAACTCTCCATTTCACTTCTTGCAGTACACACCTGATTTTAAATGCTAATGAGATATCAGAATCCCTCTCATACACTTTCATTGTCCTTCTCTGTCTTAACCCCTGCATTGTGCAAGATTTAAATTAGAACCCTTCTTTAAAAGGTTGCTTTAATTTTCACTTTGGGGGACTTAAAAAGAAAGCATAACTTTAGATCGACGTTTGGCACAAAATATCATACGGTTATCATGACTTTTACACAAACGGAGTGTCAAAATGAAATAAAGAATATAAAAGCAGTGTACTGAGAGCCCCTACTCATGAGAAACTATTCACCTATTGAGTAAAGTTCTCTTCTGCATCTTTCCCCATTCATCCAAAGTCGACTATTTCAAAATAATTCAGCACTTATGTAGCAATTTTCATCTAAAGATCTCAAAATACTTTATAAAAGGTCTGACGAACCTCATGAAAGCCTTGTGAGGTCAGTTTTATACCCATTTCAAAAATGGATGGACTGGGAGACTAAGATTTTCAAAAGTCTCCATAATTTGAGGCCCTACCTGAGATAGTCTGGCCCAATTTTCAGAAGTGCTGAGCACTCACAATGGGTCACTAAAGTCAGTGGGAGCAGTGGATGCTCAGCAGCTATGAAAATTAATTCCTAGATGTCTCATGGGGGTGGATTCTTTTTGAAATGTTGGTGTAACTGTCTTGACCGGACCCTGTGAAATCCCGCAGGGCTGGCAATTGGAGTGGGAGGGGGGAAGCCATGTTTTATTTGTAAATGGAGCATATACAAAAGGCACTGAATTCTGTTCAGCTGTAACCATTTTTGTTCTGTAGCATAGACAAAGCCTAGACATCATCCCACACATTTCCTGTTGTATCACTTACCGTAAAGTCCTATGTGTAATTCATAAAGTTTTCATTAAAATAGGCTTTTTCTAGAGGCACCCTGGATTTAGATTTACTGGCTTCTTACCGATCACTGATCTGCTAAATGGATGGAAATAAACCTGTTTTGATTGTTAGCCTGTTGCCACCAAATCATGCAACCACTAGCAATAGAGGGGAAAAACCCTTCTAATCAGGTAATGTATTTCATTAAGCCAGTGTTTCCCAAACTTGGGATGCCGCTTGTGTAGGGAAAGCCCTTGGTGGGCCGGGCCGGTTTGTTTACCAGCCGCATCCGCAGGTCCAGCCGATCGCGACTCCCACTGGCCGTGGTTCGCTGCTCCAGGCCTACACCGCTTCCTGCAGCTCCCATTGGCCTGGAGCAGCGAACCGCGGCCAGTGGGAGCCGCCATCGGCTGGACCTGTGGACGCGGCAGGTAAACAAACCGGCCCGGCCCGCCAGGGGCTTTTCCTACACAAGCGGCATCCCAAGTTTGGGAAACACTGCATTAGGCCAATTGGATCAATGCTGCTGCTGTTACAGGTCTACACATTGTACACTATGGAAGACAGGTATGTGGGAAATTAGTTTTGTCTTATTATGAACACTGTCAAATAATATGGGTTTGAAAATTCAATTAGCTTTCAAAGAACCAGCCTAGCTTTTGGTGGGGGAGGGATGTCTTTAACATAAAACATAATGCAAGCTTTCCTTTAATTGATTAAAACTGAAATCCTTTTTGGAGCAGGGGGGACATAGATTTGAATCACTGGAATTAAAGAGATTCTCAAATTTAAACTAGATGTGTAAGATTGAAAAATAGGTTGAGAATTTGACAGACTCTCAAAACTTCATGAGGGTCACGCTTACCAATGAAAATAGACACTGGGTCAAATTCATTCCTTAAGATAAAAAACATGCAGTGTTTGGCTTAGTAAATCCTAAATCTATTTATCAAAAATAACTAGACATCCAATGGTCCAGGTATTTTCTCTCTTAAGATGAGATCTGAATAATAGTTTCTAAATCTTTTCTATACTATACTACTTTAGTGACTATTTAAAAATGATAAAATGCCTTTGTGCTGCTGATAACCATCCTTACGTCCTGCAAAATTCTTTAAAGCTGGATACACTACTTGACAAGTAAAGGTGAGATGACACACATGAAAGTGTTTGTGTGAGTCCTACTTTGGTGTTAAAGCTGCCTCTACTAGACCTAGCACTGTTTGCAGTCTCTCTTCCCCACTCTCCGCAGTCTAGGTGTCACTTCTACTAAGACCAGTCTTATCCCCAAAGAGCTACCTTTTCACAGCTCTATTCAGTTGCTGAAGGATGGATGTGTCTGTAACATGAACATTGCCTTTTGTGATGGCTGATTACTAATCCTCGTATTCTCCAGGCCCAGAAAGAGAAAATCACCAGATCGCAAAGGAGTCTACAATAAAATGTAATTTCTTAAAGGCTGCAATAAGACACCACCCAAACTACTGATATTGTATGGTATCTGGGATACCAAGGCATTTCACAATCAGAGTGCTCACAGCTAAATTAAAATGCACCCATTTCTGAGGTAGAAAGTGACAATTAGTGCATTGCATGATAGGAAAGGGGGAAATGTTGATTAAGGACATCAGGGTAGGGTTTTTTTCCTCTGACAACATCTAAAGGATATACAGGAACTAATCCAGCTGCCACTGAAGTCAATAGAAAAAGTCTGCATGATTTCATTGGGAGCAGGAATGGGTCCTGAAAGTCTGTACAAAATGGACAGCAATTTTCAAGTTCTCAGCAGAAACACCCACACACAGAGTAGCCAAATAGGACACAATTTGTCTAATATGAGAAGAGAGAAGGGCTCCTTGGACAGCACTGAGCTTCAAAACTGTGGTCCCAAGGTATTTCTGATTTCATGCTTAGTCCACTAATGCCAAGATGCTTAAAACTACATCTCCTGTACCTTGGGGGAAAAGCAGGGATTACCTAACATAATACTTAGCAAATGAACACCCCAAAGCTCCAGCCACACTAGATTTTATATATATATCAGGCTTTTATGTCACACTTGGTTCTGATAGATCCATGGCCCCAATGTTGAATCAGGCAAATTGCCTCATCTAGTATTATATATGACAGTGCACATACCTCTAAATATATGAAATTATTAACTGAATCACCCTCTGGATATGACAAATGAGGTCTTAATCTGTACTTCCCTGTCTGTTTCCTAGGCATTAAACTCAGTGAGCTATTCCTGTGTCTAAGATTCTTTTAATCCATTTTTGTGCCACCATTTACGGAAATGGTAGCTGATATTTCTTTGTTGTTGGAAATGAAAAAGTACAAGTGTGGTATTTATTTTGCGATCCCTCTTTGCACCTTTGCAAAGAAACGTGGTTCTTTACTTATCAGTCTAACGGTGTGGTAGGTGGCAGTTGATAGCATAGTATAATTGTATTATGCCTAATAATTTTAATTCTGATTTTTCTAAAGGATCAGCCCCTATGAAGCCATAAACGCATCTTCTGTGTTGTGTGCAAGGAGGGGATAGTGCTTCCATAGTATTGTTTTCCTGCCTATTTCTCCCCAACTCCACCCCTTGCTTTCTGTAGATGCCCCTTAACTGCAGCTCCATGGAATCTAGTGGGTAGCATAGCGGAGGTGCCACTGTCTGCCATGCAGAAATCCCTTCCCTCTAGAACAATCTGCGTGGGAGGTAATACAATTCAGGTTTATATTACAGTACTTTCCTTTAGGTCTCATGTGTGGCTTCACTGAGCAACTGCAGGGGTCCCAGCTAAGAGTGGTGTCTTCTACGTGGGGAAGACAAAACAGTGGAGCAACAATCATTCCTGTAAGATAGTCCCTGTCTCAGCACAGAATGGGGAATCCCTTCTTTGCAAATCCCCAGGATCTGCAGGGTTAGGAGGGGGCGTGGCTCCACCCTACCAAATCCTTCCCACTAGAGGGTATGGTTCAAGGAGAAATCCTTGAGGATAACCTCACAATAATCTCGTTGTCTCTTGGTCTCCGCACACATGTTCATGGATTTCCAGGGTCGCCAGAATTGGACAGATGGCTTCCCTTGCATGCTTCACCTCTGCGAATGAGATTTCTGAACTGCAGATAGCAGCCATAATGTGTCATATAGAGTAAAAACAACCAAAAAACCCACCTCTTAGGCAAAAGTGACAAAACAGGAGAAATTGTGGAGGATTTTGAGCATTATATTTGTAGTTTCTCACTTTGGCCATGAGTAGGACAAGTATGCTGTTTAACTTTTTGTTATCCCCTATGGGATCAAAGAACTGCTAAACCTCAAGGGATGCTGGGAGCTGTGAACTATGAGGTATATGCATGCAGATAGTCTTGTTTATTTACGCAAGTAGTTCCACTGAGGACAGGTGCTTTGGCCACTTGCCAGTCCTTGAAAATCCTGGAAAGAAATGAACTACTTGTGTGAGTCAGGAGTGCAGAATTGGGCCTTAAAAATGCTAACTGTTTGCCTATATATGTATGCATGAAGATAACTAATACCTTGCATGAATCTCTGACTGAGGGAAAGTTAGCTTTCAGCTACAGTATGGCATTCAACTGTTATAGCTCAGGAGAAGGAGTTCAAGTTGGACTAATCATGCCTTCTGAATGTCCAAAGGCTCAAAAATGGATTGCAAAGTCTTATGAGGAAGTGACTCTGTGTTTAGTAAATCCCAGCACTCGGATTTAGTGAACATGTTCAGGTACACTGCCCCCGTCCTTTTCAAGAGCTTTCTATGTCATCAGTGCATAAATGAACAATGACCATTTAAGCATGGAGTACAAACAAGGTTGATGAATTGGAAATAAGAATAATTTATGTAGAAAACCACTTTCTGCACTTTTCCACATAAATAATGAAATGTTGTAAAAGTACCAAAGGAGACCAGGATCTTTCCATTGCAGGTGATCAAAAAATTAAGATGGCTGAACACTGAGTGCTCTATGCCACCCAGCATTCAGTGCAATTTTTTGAAAGAGGTGGCTTTGGGGAAAAGCTTGTAGAACCTTTAGTATATTGTATTTGTACATTACCTAGCACAATGAGGTCCTGGTCCACAACTAGAGCTCCTAGACACTAATGTAATACAAATAATAGTGTGTGTTTAATCTTTGGGAATGATTCTAACATTCTAACTAATTAAAAACAAGTCAAATGACATGGACTAGGGTGAGAACTAGTGCTCTCAAATCCATGGGAGCAGGCACCAGGGGAACGTATATCATCAGACGTCATCCCTGATATCCATCATGGGCGGTGGCAGGAGTCTAATGCTGATGGGGAAAAAAAATTCTGGCTGGATAGAGATGGAGCATGGAAAGGGGGCAGCAGATGGCAATAAACACTCAAGTTTATTAGTAATTCATGAAGTTGGATCTGCTCCCACTATTGCAGAGAAGTGCAAATTGTAGTCTTCTGTTCCAGAAAGGCCCAGTAAGATTCCAGTGGAGAAAGCGAGTGTTGTTTCTGGGGAAGTAGGGGGGAGAGAGAATAAAATTCTGCAGGGGGAAAACAACTATTAGCCTCAATTTGCCATTATCCTGCACCTTTGGTAGCCCTTTACATGAGTGCAAAGTGGGTGTAAAATGTTATCCCATCAGAATAGTACTGTTTTACACAGACATAAATAAATACACAAGTTGGTGGGCAAAAGCAAATCTGACCCTTAGTTCCTGGCCTACACTCCATAGAATCCCAGCACTGGAGGCTGCATCAAATAGCTACCCTACAAAACAGCTAACAGCAGAAAGTGAAGAAAAAATCCCCTCTTCCATGGAACTTGTAGGAGGAATTTAGATAGGAGTAGTGTGATCATCTTTTCCCAAAGGGAAAACGAGACATCCCATGAGCCAGCCCGAGGCCCATTTCTCCCTCCCTCGTGCAGGGCTGGCCGAGCCCTCCCTGCCTCCTGTCCATGCGGGGCTGGCCTGAGGTCCCCCTTCCTTTGACAAGTGGAGCTGGACCAAGCTCCCCCACAACCCACTTCCTGTGTGCAAGGCCAGTCCGAGCCCCCCTGCATGTGGGGCCGGTCGGCCCAAGCCGCTCTCCTAGCCCTCCCTCCAGCATGGTGCTGGTGTTGCCACTCGCTCCCCCCACCTGCACGTTCCTCCGCACCCCGCTAGGGGTCCCACCCCACTTTTTTGACAAAACTCTGCATTTGTCCAGTTTACTCTTGCCAACTGATGATCAGTTGGCAAGAGCAAACTGGATGAATGCTCAGTTTTGCCCCAAAAAATCGGGACAGCCGGGATAGGGCCTAAAAAAGGGACTGTCCTGGCTAAAATGGGATGTATGGTCACCCTAGATCGGAGAGACACATTGAATCTGCTGTTTGAATTTCCTCATGTAAAAGCCTCTCCAATTTAAATAAAATATATAATGTCAATGATGGCCATTTCAACTCTGTTCCCTGGCACTCTTTGTGCTGAATCAGGTGCTTTTAACACCACATTAATTAATAACAATGGCACTGTTCTTGTTTAGCAGTTCTTGTGCTCAGGAGTCCTGAGTTTGTCTGAAGTGCTAAACTTTATGCAGGTGCAGCACTGTGTGCCCTGAATTACTATGGGCCACTGGGTTTTTAAGAATAGAGCTCTTACAGTATCTTACATAAAGTTATTTGCAGGCTGAGTAGTTGTCTGCTAGAAATAAGCAGCCAAATTATTTGGACATCTATAGTACAGGAGGAAGCAGCTGCCTTACCTCTGTTAACTTTAATACTGCAGCTGGTAATGCATCACTTTTTCAATTGCCTAAACATCTTATCAATTGGATTTTAAGACCATGTTATGATTGGTGATATTTACATACTGTAATACCGGCTGCTAATAGTTGACAGTAATGTTTCTCTGCAAGAAAAGGGAATTAAGCATAGTCAACTAATTCCTAACATAAAGATCATGTAGCGTGAGCTGCACTTAAATGGCTATGGTTCGTTTCCATGTACCACAGAGAGATGAAAACCACACTCATTATTACATTTCTGCTGTAGGCAATTGGATCAATGCTTAAATCACTTGTCATCAAATGCAAAGGGAAAACTAAAGTGATGGAACTGAAGTGATTAGAATCTGAGGGAACTTTACGATTTACGTGTGGGTGTATACAGCCAGATGAAAGGGCAAAATTGGTGTAAATGTAGAACAGCATCAAAGTCTTTGTTGTTTGCCAGTGGCATCTCTGCTCAAGAGACGACTTTGGGTAACAACTGAAACTGGCAGGTTTTGTATCACTCTAGTAAAAACCCACCTGAATGTAAAACTTGATTAACATGGTCTCAGACTAGCAGATCTTGTGAGTGTGCATGGAAAAAGCATTTGCCAACAAGCTCGGATTTCAACTTGCAATGAATAATTGTTCTGGTGTGATGACTTCCTTTGAATATCTGAGTTTTCTCAGCTGTACAACTATTTGTCTGAGCCAAATAGCCACCTCTGAAAACAGAAGATCTGATGCTGTTCTAAATGTAGGGGGCAATGGTGTTAACTTCCATATATAGGAACTGGGAAAGGGTTGGTGGGAAGCTAAGAATGGACAGAATCCCTAATTTTTGCTTTCTTATTGACTAGAAGGGGACAGAAGTGATAAGGTAACAAACAGTTCATATCCCTAAGTGTTGTGCTAGGGAATGTTACATCTCTCAAAATGTATTAGAAAAATAACTTCCATAAACGAAGGGTACATTGCATCCCCTATCTGTCCACTGCTGCCCCCATCCATACAAACTGCCTTTTCATGAGCTTTAAAAACAAATATATATTAAATTAATGAGCCATACTCTGACAGCAATAAGCCACAACCATGTATGTATAGGTGATTAAAGGCATGAGGCCTAGATTATACACCAATAGCTGGCTAATTGCTCCAAATAAAGGTAATTCTGACTGAAGGTATATAGTTAGTTGTGCTTTCTGTATGGAAACACAAACCAGGTGCCTAAATTGTATTCTCTAAATTTGCACATTCATCTATTCTTGCATATCCCTTAGCTGAGTGCACTGACTGGGTAACTATTTACTTAAGAACCTGTTCAGTACACAATTAATTGATTTGTATGAGGAAATGCAGTATTTGTGAACACAGCAAAAGTGCTATAAACTGAAAATAGTGTTTGTGTGCCTGTGCGTGTACAAAATCCTTATTTTTAATTTCCTTATGTTTAATTGTAAAGTGACCTCAGTGTTAATTTATGGAGTACAGTACTTTCTAACTGAAATAATATTAGAATGGCTCAAATTCTATAATTAAGTGGTCAGAACAGTAAGGATTTCTTTTTAACTTAAAGGCTGATTGTTAGCTGACACCAGAATATGCAACATATTGAATTAAATGAAGACTCATGCATTATTTTTCTTGCTTACCGACTGCCTTTAGGGAGGCATACTTGTTAAGCTCCTTGCCCGGGGGCTGTTGTTCATAAGGATTTGTGATCTGTCCGATGCTGGGGTATGAATGTGGATGTGCCATCTGAGGGAGGAGAGGAGAAGTTGGTACCACATTATTCATCTGTGGACCATCTATATTAAAAAACAAAAATGAAAAAGATAGTCTTATTTTAAAAAAGTAAATCTTTAGGTTTGATCATCATTGTGCGTTACAAACTAGACAGAGTGAATGTATCATGGTGTTACCAGAAAACAAATTAGTGTTAGAATACAGCCAATCTAACCTGCCCAGTAAATATATTCACAGGCCATGGTATGGTTAAAGCAACATATATGAACAGAACAAAGACTTGGACTAGTAAATATTATTTTAAAGCTATTGATTATTAATACACTACGGCTGAGTTCATTGCAGCACTAACTGCATGGTTTTGGAGTGTTATATGAATATGAGAGAGAGAAAATGAACACACATTGTGTATATATATAGTGTATATATATTATATGGGCCAAAACTTGCATTTAGTTCCATATTCCAACCTGAACCCTAAAGTTCAGGTGTATTTGAATCTAGGGTTTTAGTTCAGGTCCATCATTAACATTTGATGAGAATGACCAATAATGAGGTCATTCTAAAAGTAGATACATCTCTAAAGGCCAGAGGCCATTTGTATTTTTCTTCCTCCCCTTCCTCTCCACCACCCATGATAATAGGTGTCATAGCTGCAGAACAAGATAACATTTACTGTAGCAGCTGCCTCAAGTCTAGAAACAGAAACTGGTGAGTGCTTCTGGACTGTCGTATCAGTACAGATTTTATATCCATTCTCAGGCTGGTTTGTCCCTTTAGATAAGTGAATACAGCGTGACTACTCCCCCTCCCCCTAAAATGTACGTGCTTGAACAATGAGCTTTTCCACCACTATTTTAGCTTCTGTCTAACTAGGTGAATCAGACTTGTATGCTTCTCCCAATAAGCTAGATTTCTACATGGTCAGCATACCCTTTTGGTGAGTCTGCTACCAAGCTGTGTGCTTTACAGTATTTTGAACTATGTGCCAGGCAAATAACAATGCTGTTGTCAAGTATATAGCGTTTCAAAACTCTTAACATTCACAGAATAGCTCATTTTTTGTTACCTATTCCCGCAGTGAAACCATAATGCTGAATTTGTGACTATACGGTAACTCTCACAGCATCAGACATAGGATTATGACAAAGTAGAAGGAAAAGCTGGGTTGCAATGGAGAAAAAGCTTATGATGGAGTGGAAGGCCCTCCCCCACAGGATCTGGCAGAAGCCAGATATCCCTACAAAAGCTGCCAGAATTGCACGGGAACGGAGCCACCTGGCTGCCTACAGTTCTCTAACGAAGCTGAGTGGATCAGCAGGAGCTCCATGGAGAAATGCAGTCAAGTCCCTCCTCCTAGCATTTGTATAAACCAGTTGAGAGAGGACACCCCGGTGAATGAAGGATGGGGTGGGGCAAATCTATGATCTGCACTGAATGTTCCTTCTTGCTATCACTGAATATAATAAGGGGTAATAGCAGGAGTGTAATCAGTAGATACTGACTAGAGCTGGGTGGAAAATGGTTATCCCATTTCGTGAGGATTTTTGCACATTTTTTCTGTCCCAAATTAGGACAAAAAGTTAACATCTCAAAAAAATTGTGAATCAAAAAGCTCAAAAAAAAATTTGATTCAGTCAGTTCAAATGTTTAATTCCAATAATTTCAAAACGTTTTGTTTCCATTGCAATCTTTTTTACATTTTTACTGTAAATTAACTTACATTTCAAAATGAAAAGTCGTTTCAAAATAAAAAATGGAACTTTTTCATTTTGAAAATGTCAAAATGTATTCTGACAACTTTTAAATGTTTTTCCAAACACTTTCTAAATTGTAAATTCATCGAAACCGACCCTTTCCTGCAAACATTTTTGGTTTTGACAGATCAGCATTTTCCAAACCCCATTCCCCCCCAAAAAATGTTTGATTGGAAAATTCCCAACCAACTGTAATAATGACCCCTATCGACTGAATGACTGTAGTGACTACTATCACACAAGGAGCTAGAGCTAAAGAAAATCCATTCCCTTTCTACTGAGTCTGAGGCCCAGCTGAGGAAAGCCTTTTACTCTGATGGCTTGTACTAAATGGCTTTGAAAGTAGCTGGGCACTCTTTGCAAACCAGCTTTGCAAACCAGCTGTACCACCCTTTATGGTTGAGTCTTCACTAGACTTTTTGGTGAAGTCTCATGCCATTGCACTAACAACACTGTAGCTCCACTGGTGGGAGCATTAGTATTAATAGGGCATCAGCATTTTTACCAACATGTCTTTTAGTCTTGTTCAGAGTGTGGTGTAGATGATACAGTGGTAAAAATACTGGTGGCATGGCTACACTAGCAATTTCATTATTGCTACCACTGGTGGACCTGCAATGGTGGAAATCTTGTCTAGTGTAGGTGGCCACAGTTCTTTGTCTAGCTTCCACCTCTCTGTCAGGCCTGTCATGCTTATTCAGACATATCTTTAATAGCAACAAGGGAAATATAGAAAAACACTGACAAAGAAAATGGATTTAAGTATAAAAATGTTCTTTCTTCCAAGTGCACTCAAGTGTTGAAGTCCCACTTTAATACCAAGCTATTATCAGAGTTAATGTTGCTGCTTTTCAGCTCTTCAACAATTTATGAAGATTTAATAATTAAATATATTAGCTATTTTTTGTATGTCTATGGAATCTGATTTCTACTTTGCCGGCTTTTGTCTGAGGCCATGAAGTATTCTAAGTGGTGACTTTCAAGTTGATTAATGACAAAACCTCTTTCATTGCGGTTCACTGTCTGCTACAGTAGCCTTCATTCACACAGAAGTACTGATGCAAGGCTAGCTCATTGGATGGAAAACATTATTCAAGTTCCACATTCAATTGGCCATTAACACAAAGGCTAATTAAGCAAAAGGCCAAACTGAGACACAGTACATTGCATAAGCGAGGAAAAGATGCATGTTTATAAAAGCCTCTACATTAGACTGGATTTCCAAGATTTAAAGGGAAATCTGAGCTGTCTACAATCACACACTTAATTCTGCATCCTACCATTTGTTAGTCTCTAAATTACCATCAGTGGTAAGTATGCCAGTTGCATTTTCAAGGTTTTGAGTCTCTCAACAGTTTGAATTCTAATTCAGTTGCAATCTTTCTTGTGTTTTCTTTGAGTGAATTTGATAACCAAATGCCACTGTGGAGCCAATTTATCTTTTTCCCATCAAACATAGGTAATTTAACAGAGATGGGTTACCCCAATATTTGAATGATATTCAGAAAAATCTTATTATGGAATTAAGAAGGATATAATGTGAACTATCATGCTGGTGATGTGACTGTAATCTAGCCACTAGGGGGAGCCCAGGTTTAACACGAACCAGGTAATGTTCTTCAACATGACCCTGCCCTGCCTACAGGGCCAGTGCAACCCATTAGGCGACCTAGGCGGTTGCCTAGGGCACTAGCATTTGGGGGGCAGCATTTCAGGTCCTTCGGCAGCGACCGCAGTGGTCGGATCTTCGGCCACCCTGGTCGTCGTCGGCATTTAGGCAGAGGGAGCTGGGGCAGGGGGGCGTGGGGAGGGCCGCCTGCAGCAAGTAAGGGGGGGGCGGCACGCAGAGGAACTCCCCACCCCAGCTCACCTCTGCTCCACCTCCTCCCCTGAGCACGCCGCCCCGCTCTGCTTCTCTCCCTCCCAGGCTTGCGGCGCCAAACAGCTGATGGGCGCTGCAAGCCTGGGAGGTGGGAGAAGTGGAGTGGCGACGGTGTGCTCAGGGAGGAGGCGAAGCAGAGGTGAGCTGGGAAGGGGAGCTGCCGCACGGCTTCCCGGGCCGGGGGGAGCGGCGGCGGGGGGGGGGGGCCGGGGGGGGGGGGGGGGGGCCACAGGGCGGGGGGGGGGGGGCCACAAGGTGGAAGTTTCGCCTAGGGCGCGAAACGTCCTTGCACCCGTCCTGCCTGACTACACTAAAGGCAAGGTCCTGTTTAAAATTGTGTTAAGTAAAATGTGTTAGCTACATGTTTTAAAATGCAACCTATTTTCCAAGTCTAGATGAGGCTTCAGTTGCAGGGATACTCCCAGGAGACATAGAAATCTAACTCTAATCCCCTGATTAGAACTGGGCAGGAAACAATTTTTCTGTCCTATGAGACTTTGAGATTTTATTTTAAAAAAATAATCCCATCTTGAAATGGGATGACAAGTCAAAGCCCCCCCAAAAAGTACTGAATTGATAATCCATAATAATTTTCTGGTTGGGTCAACCAAATGTTTTCATTTTGATTTGACCTTTTTTACATTTTAACTTTTTTGGTAAAAATTAACCAATATTTCAAAATAAGAAGTCATTTAGGATTAAAAACTAAAACTTGTCATTTCAAAAATGTCAAAGTAGGATGTTTTGACGATTTTGTTGAAAAATTCCCAACTAGCTCTACCCATGACCTCTAATGGCATGTTGAATCCTGACTATCCATCAGCCATGTATTTTCTGATTGATATTTGGAAATAGCTGGTTTACCAAACAGGGACAATTTCAAGCTCAAAGTTCTGACTGTGTTGATACATTATGTTTGGCATTCCAACACTGCTACGTTGCCCAGCATGATACTCCATGTAACTGCCTGGCACTGTGCAGCTGCCAGTATTTATTTATTCATGTATTTTAAAAAGCCAAAAACAAGAGCACTACAGAGTCAAAGTATTTGCGCCATGACCAAAACCTCCAGCGTGCATAGTCAGACTTAGCCTATGCAGTGGTAACTGGTGATGTTGTAAGAACTTACCCATGGGTCTCATTGGCTGCTGGAGCTACAATAGTTGATATCATGCTGCCAGCTGACCTGAGTTGACTCCGCAACCCCTGGACTGTCTGGTCTACAAGGACATGTGAGAATGTAGTGTGTTCGGCTAGCCCTCTGTCTCCTGACTGCCAGTACAAGAAGGAAGAATAGGAGAGGAGTGTGCTGCACTTCACCAACACAGAAGCTAGACACCTGCTGGGGCAGCAAATGAGGCAGACAAGAAGCAGCTGACAGAAGGTTCTTCAGATGCAGAAGCCTGCTGTGCCTGCTACTTTC